CAACGTATTGCCCACACGTGTGTAGTGGGCTAGCCGACCAGGGCCAGGTGAGAAACCTGGCCACAGGAATCTTCATTTTATCTACAACTTAGTACCAAAGAATAAAAAATATCTCATTAACAAGTTTATACTGATCGTATGCTCATACGGTAGTATTTTACATATATTGGGTGAAATAAAACATTACAATTAAATCCACTTATTTGTTTTTGGTTTTTTAAGTGTGCTACTTGAAAATTTTAAATTGCACATGTCACCTGCATTTATTTCTATTGGTCAGTGCTGGGCCAGACCTTGGCTCAGGGTGAGACCTAAACATGTCTTAATACACTTTCCAAAAGCTTGCAAGGGTATATTACATGTTCCCTCTTTCCCGTGCCTGGCAATGCTTAAATGAGTAATTAGAGGTCTTGACAATAAATCTCAAATTCCTATTCCTTGCTATCCCTAAATAGCTATCCCCAGATAGCAAGGGGGCAAGTGTGTAAACTGAGATCCTGGGCCAGCCACAGATATTCAGAAGCCTAGTAGTGACTGAGTTAATAGAGCTTGCTTTTTCCTTCTCACACTTCATTTGAAGAAGTAGACAAGGATAAAACATTACTGAGTTCCTCATTGCTTAAAAACACACATCCACATTTATTCCCAACCATTACACTATTATAATAAACAGCAATACCAAAAAAGCAAACTCAGTGGGCCACTACCCATTCATCATTGAGAAGATGGTCATGCCTTTGGAGGGCCACACATAAGCGATGTCATTGTCATCAAGTCTGGAAGAATATTTATGCTATACTTGGGCAAATGCCCAGTGACTATTAACAAAGTCATTAATCTGGATCACGTTTTCAAGTCTAGCATCAATGCAAATCCTATTTGTTTAAACTGGGATTATCCTTAGCTCACTGTGCTCATTACTGCTTCTTGATTTGAGAGAATATGCCTGAGTTTCTCATTTATAAAATGTATGTGTTAAAGAAAAACAACTCTCAGGAAAGCAGGTTGCTTTGATAACTTATTTTTCATTAGAGACTATAAATCAGAACCTAAATGAATAGCACAGTCATGAACCTACAGTTAGGCTTTAATCTCTGGTTAGCTTCCCGAGGAGAAAGAACTCATTCCTCCGTCCTGAGTTGTGTGATTGCAAAGGATCTTCCATTTACTAGCGTGCTTGGAAGCTCTCCCCTCCCCTTCCCTCCAGAGATTAAAAGCAGGCAATGATCAGCAACTCGGCCGTGAATGGCTTTCTTCCCCTCTCAGCTCTATTTTGATTTGCCCCACCTCATCATCCTGAATGATGTCAGAAGTTGAATCAGTTCAATCCTACTGGCTGATATTAGCATTAATTTATCTATTTGGCTTTTCATTGACAAAGAATGGCAGACTAAGCTGCGCATTAGAAAAGTAGATATATTTAAAAAGTATTTCAAGCTGAATCTCAGTAAGCCTTTGCAATCCTCAACCTTTACCTTGTGTGAGTGACAGAATTTCTTATAAAGAATCCCAAGTGTTCAAATCCCCAATCGCTGCAGCTGTGAATGTGCTGAGCTCTCTCTCCTGTGACTGTGTTACATTTACAGCACACCCTTTAATTTAGGAAGGGAGATTACCTGGGTGGGCCTAATCTAGTCCAGTTGAGCCTTGAAAAGTAGACAACCTTCTCCACCTGGTGGCAGAAGGGGACATCAGGGAGACCAAGCATGAGAAGGATTCCACTCACCGTTGCCGGCTTACTGATGGAGCGGCCACATGATGAAGAATGTAGGTGGCATCTAGAAGTGGAGAGAGCCCCCTCTCCCGCCGACCTGGGGACCACAGGCCTACAGTCACAAGGACTGGACTCTGTCAACAACCTGAAGGATCATGGAAGCGGGTAAGAGCCCAGCTGGTTGACACTTTGGTTTCAGGCTGGTGAGACCCTAAGCAGAGAACCCCGCTGAGCCCTTGTGGACTTGTGGCCTACTGAACTAATGAGAGAAGGAATGGGTGTTGATGTTATTAGCTGCTGATGAGTCTGTGGTGGTTTGTTACGTAGCAATAGAAGACCAATACACCTTGGTCATTTGCAGGATTCCATTGCTTTTGTTTTTTGTTGTGGTTCATGATCCACCCCGTTTACAGGCTGTGTGGCCTTGGGTGAATAACTTGTCCTTCTTGAGCCTGTAAAACCTGCTTTACTGAGTTTTTATTAAGATTAAACGGGATCCATGTCAAGTGTTCGCTGCAGACCCTGGCACTCAGTAGGATCTCACTCAAGCTCCCTCTCTGCATGTGTATCGTTCCAATGCCCCCCTAAATACAGAGCTTCCTGCATATTAGTGCACGGTGCCAGGGAAGCTGTGGGTGCTCAATACATGTGTGCTGGATTGTATACACAAACAGTACTCAGCAGACCATCACATTCATCAAACATTTACATCTTGGGAAATGAACATATTAAATAAAAAGGTCTAAACAAAGTCGTCTCTGTCCTCAAGATGTCAACAAGTTTGTAGGACAGAAATATGCAAAGCATTGCAATACATGCCATTCATACCAGCATATGCCAAAGGCTGAGGCCACAGCACCTTTCCCCTGGCCAGGAGGAGCAATTTCTCAAGTCGACATGAGGGGTGGAGGTGTGCCGGGCAGAGCAGGCGTAGAGGAATTTGCAGGGATGGGGGCTGGAGGGAGGCCTGGTTTAAGTGGGGCAAAGGGCGCCTGAGTGGGGTGTGGTGGAGGGTGGGACTCAAACATTAAGCTGAGGACAGACTGCATTTCATGCCAACGGGTTTGGGCTTCATGCTTCTGGCTCTGGGAAGCTTTCAGAGGTTTTTCAGTAGAGTACCCTGATCAGATTTGTACACCAGAAAGAAAACACTGGTGTGGGTGGATGGACTTCACAGGGTGGATTTTAAGTGAAGAAACAGCAACATCCAGCTAATTTAGTGATCTCTGACTTTCAACAAAAATACATGCAAATCTATGGAAGCCCTTTATTCATAGTGAGGCCCTGAGATGCTAACACTTGGTTTAATATCCTTTCTAACAGGAATGTGTCTGCTGTGGTAAGCAGCAAAGCAAGGGTTCCCTGCACGGAAAGGCAGGCTGGCAGTGAGCTACTGCCCCCGCTGGTCAGCACCCTAGGGCTGGAAGCAGAGAGGCAGCGGCCTGGCTCCCAAGGGCTAAAAGCTACAGTCTGGATTTTAGCAAAAACAGGGCGGGAACAGCACCCTCCCAGGGCTCGGTTTGGGGGTGGTGTGGGATTCCCTTCTAACTGGGACACCTCCAAGTACCTAGAGGAAGGAGAAAAAGATACTTAGTTCTGAACTAATACTTGGAACTCTCTTTCTCATAGAAAAAGTGCTATAAATAGTAGGTTGGTTATGAGGCTGGACCTTTGAGTGAGCAATAGCTGTCTGAAATCCAGTCCATTGTAACTTTGTTATATATTGTCTGGATATCTCACTAACAAGCCAACTTCTGGAGTATGACCTGTTTGTAAAGTGGACATTTTAAGATTTTATAATCATGCTAGCTTACCGGTATAAACTCAAGATTTTCTTGAGAATTCCATACGGTGCTGCAAAGGACTAAACCAGATGTCACACAGAATAATGAATCACAGTTTTTGTTTCTATTAGAATAGAACTTTATTTGTGGCATCAAGACTTTTAAAAATTATTTTAAACTTTGTGCAATAAATTTTGATACTTTGATCTTGATATATATTTAACACATGAGATTTTAAAAAACAATGTCAAATGGCTTATAATCAGAATGAATTGTATTTAACTTGACAAAATATATGGAATAATTTCAGCACTATAAATAAAAACTGAAAACAAATACCACTTAAACTTGAGTTAGGATGAAATGCATTTGTAATACAATTTTATGTCTATGTTGAAATTTGATTACAAACTATAGGCTAAAATCATGTTGCTTATAATTTCTAGAAAAATATGATGTCCTTGCTTTATGAAAATGACCCTATTTACTGTCCAGCCTTAGAATGCATTTGAGATACTTTTCTATCTGGGATGAGAGGCTGTGTTGCTTGATATCAGTTCACATGAGAGACGAAGAAGACCATAGGATATGGCTGGGGCTGGTGGGCGGCTCGTCTTAACACCCTATTTTATATGTGTCACAGGATCATCCAAGTGAATATCAGACAAAAAGCAAGTATTATATTTTCTCAAGCTCTGATATCTGCTATGATATTTCACAGAAGTGATATTTAAACAATCATGTGGTAAAATCTTATTTTAACAAAAACAGTTTTCACATTCTGTACAATGAAGACATTCTAAAACACATTGGCCCATGTTGGTAATACTTTGGTGAGGGGAGAAAAGTGAATTCTGAAGGTAAGATCCGTGAATAGATTAGCAGGTGTATACATATATATCTATGTATTCAGTATCAGTGATATTCCTACTTCCTTGTCTACTAGTGATTTTATTTTGCAAGGAAGGGATTCTTCTTCGGGAGTGTAGTATGCACAGCTGATCTGACAAAAGCTGATGGTCAGCCAGAGCATCTTCTGATATTTTACAAAGCATCTCCCTGGAACTTAGGATAATCTTCTGTGACAGTGAGGGTGGGCATGATGATTCTCACTTGTCAAGATGAAGAAACAGGAGCTCAGAGACGTTAAGTAAGTTGCTTAAGTTTCCACAGTTGGTAAGTAATAAAACTAGGACTACACCCGGCGGTCTTGTCTGCCTGGTAGTTAACACAGGCAAAGAGAAAACACAGGGTGCATTGACCTGTGCATTACCTTCTCTAAGCCAAGCTGCTGTAGTGTTTGCAAAGTGGTTTTGCTACTGTCACATTTGAGATCTCTACCAGGTGCTGGCAGATACCCATTGTGTATACCCAGACAAACTTAAACCAATATAACCAGAAGCACTTTTTTACAACTCTGAGTATATAAATGTATTTAAGAAGATTCATGACATATTCACACATTTTCCTAAATCACCAAGATACCATACTGAGAAACAGGCTTAAGTTTTTGCAAGAGCACTTTCTATCTAATCATTCCAATATAGGTATGAAACATATAAATACAGTCTGGGCACACTTTATCTTTGCAGGTGCACTAGAACAATTTCTCCTTTGCCGCCTTCTTATCGCCCCTGCTTTTTGATTGTTTACAAATTCATTTGCACGTCCATTAAGTTCCTTGAGGATGATGACTGAACTATATTTCTTTGAAGCTGACAATTCTCACCCCCAGGGCTTAGCCCAATGCTGTGCATATAGCACACATTTAGTGAATGTTTGTTTGAATGCATGTATGTGATTTTGATGTACTTTAATTTGTTTAAAGTAGGATTCTAGCTGTAACATTTTGCCTGAAGAGTTTTGGACTTAGAGTTTACAGCAATTTTAAAAAGCATAAGAAATATGGTAATAAATTTAATACAAATTATGCATCGTAACTATTCTTTGGTTATTTCTTAACAAATTATTTGGTTTTTTGATAAAAGTAAAATACTAAAAATATAAAAATGCAACTACAGAAATTAGCTTACTCTGTAAATGCAATAAACCCTGTAAACATATATTCACTACATAATTGTGCAAGTATAAAGAATGACTAGTGAAGGCAAGTGCTATACATTTAACTTAGTCCTTCAAAGCTCATTTAGAAATACTGCTTTGTGGAGCCTTAGTTCAATGTTTGCAGAAGGAATTCTTTTCTTAAACTAACCTAAAACAGGAAAGGTGGTGACTGTACACCAGTGGCCCACAGGACTGCAGGCAAGAGCAGGCGTTAATACTTTTCACTCTTTGCAAATCAGACTTTGCTTCACATCTCTTATGAACCACCTTTTTAGTAAAACTGCATATTAACAAAAGCCAAATACTTTTAAAGTGAAGAAGTAAACAATTTTTTTTAAACAAGTGAGTCAGTTGACTAAAAATATAAGTAGCACACTTTCAAAGGTTTTTCCAAAAATTCAGGCAGTGAGATGCATTAGGCAGGTCTATGAAATAATAAATAGCTGCAGGCAGCATGAATATGGTGTAGTTTACTCAATGTTAAGGAATTCTTTCCCAAATCTTAGTTTTCCTTCTCAAAAAGCATGAAACTTTTCACACATGACACTTGTCACACATATTTCACAGTTATCATTTCAGTAGTTTAAGAAAGAACTGCCTGGAAAACACTGTCGAAGAGGTAAATGTCAAGGACAAAACCCACTTTTTCAGGCACAGAGGACTTTACACTGTAGAGTCTTAAAGCTAGAATGAAACAGCTGTGTAAATGCTACCCATTATTTAAAAGTGGATGAAATAGGGTAAAGTTGTCATACTATTGCTTCTAATACTTTAATATGACTTTCTCCAATACCTGGGAAGAAACAAGCGCCAAATTTTAGTAGTTCCCCAGAAAATTATAAGTCAAGATTTGGCTTAAATCAAAGTGGTAGTAAAACACAGTAGATCGTCATCTAATCAACACCATCAAAACCTTGAGTGTTCTCAATTGCCATCTGAAGCTTATCCCATAATTCTTCAAATGATTCATAGGGTGGCAAGTCCAAGCGGTTAAAGCTGCAAGAACAGAGAGCTGGTTATGACAGACATAGACAAAGCAGGTGTCACCAGGGCCAGCACGGTAATGCTGCTGTCTGGCCACGTATGTTCCAACTACACTGAAAGATGTTTCATCACCACGGGGGAGGGATGATAGAGGGCTGGACTCCAAGTGGCGCCTCTCCCCAAGGCTTCTCTCGGTGGAGTCCTTTTACTCCCATCCCCACTTCCAAATGTCAGGGTTCCTCTGCCATTTTAACCTCCTGGAGGGAATGTTCTAGCTCATCTTGGGATGGCCCATCACACATGAGATGGAAGCATCAGAGAGTCAACAGTTCAGAAGGGCCTCCAGTATGTAGCTGCCTAGACGTGCAGCTCAGGCTCCCCTTGTGAAGACACACCTGCTCCTGGGTTGGTGTGGCCGTCTGCTCCTCCTCCCCCACCCCTCCTCCTCCATGGCTGCCATTGCAGCTCAGCACCGAGGGGCTAGACCTTCAGCACCTAGACTAACTGTTCGAGGGACTTTGCTCTCTGAGGACTCATCTCTCAGGGCCTCAGAAACTGCTTACCACGTATGGGCTCTTGGCAGCTTTTCTGGGGTGCCCCACTGTTCAACTGTGAACGACTGAGGTCCGTTTGAGCCTTTAAGGAAGAAGAGTTGGTTTGCTTTCATTTATTCTTTACAGGAATCCCCAGGCATTTTACAACTCATTTTTTCCTAACATAAAACTTAAATATACAGAGAACAAATGTAGTTTCCGTAAACTCCAAAGAAACGAAGGCTGTACGTGCTTGATGGTTTTATTGTCCAGCCATGAAGGACAGATCCTCTTCTACCAGTTGTGACCACCGCCTCACTCTGCTCCCGGGCTGGTGTATCTGACCACGGCTTTCTGTTTCCCAGCCCTGCACTTCTGTACACTACCTCTTTCAGAAGTACACAGAGAAAAATGAGCATTTTCTTTCTATCTTCAGTCCCACTGAAAATAGCCTTAATTCTGATTATATAATCTCAATGCAAAAATTAAAGCAAGAGAGAAAAATATAATGCAAGGTATAAAAAATCACCTCAAATTCTACTATTAAATCTGAGTAAGTAGCCTATCATTAATCTTTTTTTGTGCATGTGCAAAATATATAGAATTTTATGGACATGCAATCATGTTATACATGCTATACTTTTTAAAAAAAATTATGGATGATTTTATAAACTATTATTTTCTTTGGGGTTTTCACTTAGTTCTCCTTTCTCCAATTCTCAATATCCCCTAACCAGCCAGGTAATCAATGTTGACAACCTGACATATAACCTTCCATACTTTTCTTCATATCTTATTATCACGTCCAAATACATGTGTATGAGTACATCAGAAAAGCTGCACTAAAAATACTTAATTTTCTCAATATTACAATTTTCTCAAAAAGCATTACTCTTCACACATCACCTATCACAATCCTATTCACAGTTAAAATATCAGTACTTTGTCAGTGTTTGTTTTCTATAACATGGGATCATATTTATTTCCCTGCCTCCTGATTCTTTCACCTAAACAATTCATTATGAAAACTCCCTGTAAATCATCTGGTATAAACTTCATGTACTTTTTATTGGCTAAATAATGTCTCAGTATTAACATTGTGAAGCAACTTCTACTTCTTTTTGTAAATGCGTAAGAATTTGAATTTACATTCTAACACCAACAGCTCTGGCTCCATGTGTGGGTATTTCCCCCAGATTCCCAACAATTCATGGAATCAGTGGATGGCTGTGGGCTTGGGCTGCATAAAAGAGGGACGTGGAGCTAGAGATGGAAATGGGTGTTTGCCTTGCCTTAATTTTTCCTACAAACTGTCTAAGTATAGGGAGAAGAGAAAGGCAGAGGAGTCAAGGGAAATCACTGAAAGGACAAAGGCTAAGACATCCAATCAGGCAAGGCACGGGTGCATCGGATAGCCTTTAGTGGCAAAGCTCTGTCTCATGCTCTCCTGAGTGGTTATGCTAAGTGGGGAAGTGGCAGCTGCTTGACAGTTCTGCAAACAAATTTCAGTGAAGCTTAAAAAGGAGACCAGGTTTGCTAAGGAGGAGAAAGAAGGAGTTAGCTATCCCATCAGATAGCAGTAGCTCCCTATTTGCCTGAAAAATTCAGCTTAGCAACCGATGAGGTCCCAGTCCCTGACTTCTAGTTCCAGAACACTTCTAATCTTCCTTGGTTCTGAGTAGCGTTCTGATCTGAACTATACTTTCTCTGAAAGATTTATTCTTCTTGGTATCTTTAAAAGCAAGGAAACCTCATTTCAATAAAAAGAATATTAACTCATTATAGAATACTTGCTGTGATCTATATCAGAAACAGTACCATTTTTAAAATATCAAAACACACACTTCTAGTGCTATGAAGTAAATCAACCAGAAGATAGTTTGATCGGGTATACAGAATTTCACATAATAGAAAATTGCCTTAACTGTAGCTATTCTGAACTTTCCATGCAGTCTTATCTCCCACAAGGCTGGCTTGCCAACTACCACTGCAGGCAGGTGTGCATGCCACACTCACACACACATGGGTTCTATTCTATGGTCAAGTAAATTCTGGAAACTGCTTTTTTCATAGTAAAGTTTCTGAGCAAGTTTCAAAGAAACCTACTTAACTTTGTTCAGTCCAGTACTTCCCCAAATGTATTCTAACATGATACTCTTTTTTTTGGTTGCATACTCACTAACATTCTGTGGAACTTTACCTGGTGTCCTAAGCTATCATACTGTAGGAAATGCTTTTTATGTAATGGAATGCATAGAGGAATCAAATTTAAACTCCATGAATGGAAAGTATCTCAAGTCATTTCACATTTCCTGTTTTCTCTCTTGCTATCTGATTAGAAGGTAAACAGATATTTTGGCCTACTTCAGTGTATCTAATTATACCAAAAATCTTAATTCTTTTTTATTAAGCTTAATGTTTACATAAATGATAAAAGCTTGTAGACTAATCAGCCATGAAAAAGACAAATGGCATTACATCATTTTTAAATAATCTATAGAAAATCCTTACCATATAATTCAGCAAATCCGTTCATAGGCACACGAGATGTGCCAGTGACAAACTGAAGTAATCTTATTCTTTTTTCGGAATCCATCATTAAAACAGCCTGAATAAGATAAAACAGCATGTAGGAATATCATTGGAAAAAAGGAACCAAAACTATCTTAAAAAATGCTTTCAGAATTTGGAGCATTAATGATCACATTAAATTTGCATATCTCTTAGTTAAATTTGTGTTTATGGGTAGTTTACTGCCATTTACTGCATTCTGAACACTTTACTTGCCTATCTATAAATACATATGGGGGTTGGAACTATATCCAGAAGGTAGATGTATAAAGTACAATATCAAGGATAATTTTTGCTGAGCTGTGTAAGTCTTTTGTCTTATGTATATGTAATCCACTAGTGTAGTTAAATGTGATTGAATCAAAAAGTGACCCAGTTACCTTCCAGAACCACTGTATGACTTGATGATTTACACTGTAGCCGTTTTTATACTTGGTGTGTTCCCTCCAGTCATTCACATCAACGTCTCCCAGTCCACACATAAGAAGCTACATAAAAAGAAATGTCAAACTGTAGACAAGAAAAATAATGGGTACAAAAGTCCTTTTTTAAAATTAGAATAATATTTCTTACCTCTAGTTCATTTTCATCAAAAATTTTGATGAGGTCCTGTGGTATTAGTTCAAAAAATCCCTAGAAAGAATGTATTTAAAAACCTGGTTAGCAGGGCCGATGGACAATCCTCCCCTTCAGCTTCTGCTACCAGAGAAAACCCACATCCACAAGATTCCTTCCACTGCACTGTCAAGGCTCTTAACTCAGCTGAGATTTCCATATTGGCAAGAAAATGTATGTGTCCATAGTCTGTTCTCTCACCGATTCCTCCAAGTGGTTATTTCATAATTTCCCTGCACTTCTCAAGCCTCCTTCCCCTCCATGTCACTACTTCTTTACAGCAGATAATTTCTATTTGAGAGAGAACAGAGGTGATTCTGCAGGACGGAATTCTCTCAGCCTTCCATGTCCCCATGTGTGGACTAGAGCTGACACAGCCCTCAGGGCCTCTCCTGCTGCCCTGGGGAGAGGTGCTGCTACTTCTCTCTGCTTCATCTGCTTCCTCACGGAGGTCACCTCGCTAAACCTCCTTCTCTTTATTAGCTCTTTAGGCGTTCAATCTGTTCAAGCCTTATCTGCCTTAAAACAAAAATGTAAACCTCTCTTTCCTCCTCTTTACAGGCAAGTTCTCGACAGTGTTACGTTACGGCTCTGCTTGCTCCCCTTCAGTCTAGCACTGCAATCAGACCTCTGAACCACTGCTTCCCTGAAGCTGTCCTGGAAAAAGTCAAAGCCGGCTTTGTGGCTAAATGATGAACACTCTGTTCTTCTGTATCTTACTTGACAGTCTGCACAATGATATCGTTGAAAACCCTTTGTTTCTCAAACTTTGCTATTGATGGTTTTTCTCTTAGGTCTCTGCTAATTTTCTCTTAGGTCTCCTTTGCTCATTTCCTTTGCATCTCCTTTTCTTCTTCCCATTCCTTAAATGTTGGTGTTCCCACATCTTTTTGCCTGGCCATCCATTTTCACTGTTTGTACCATTTTTTGGCATTCTCCATTTAATCTAGTCCACAGCTCCTTTATACATATGAAGATGATCCCCAAATCCATACTCCAACCCCAGATCTCTGTCCTTGAAATCATCCAAGAAACAGCTCTCCCTTCCTGAACACCAGTCGGCTGCACACAGACTGTCTTCCCACCACCACCGTCTTCGTTTCCATCCTTACCGGTTCTCACCAGCATTACTGACTGGAGCAACCCCCAGCCCGCCTCTGCTGCTAGTCTTGTTCTCCTCTAATTCACTAACATGCCACGTCCAGAATGATCAAAAATGTAAATCGAATCCTGGTGTTTCAGTGTTTAATAGTCTTTAGTGCCGCTTTCCTTCCCTCGCTGGGCTTCAGGAAAACTCCAAACTCAACAACTTTTGTTTCCAGTTCAACAAACAGACCCTTCAAAATGTAGTTCTGACCAATTACCCAGGCTTAGTTACATCTTGCATCTTTACAACCAGTATGAGAATTGCTTGTATTTTCCCTAACATGTGCCCAGCTGGTCTTACGGCCAGACTGCTCACGTGCTATTCGCTCTGCTCAGAACTACACTTCCCTCTCCCTGAGGCTGGCCAATCCCTCTCATCCTTCCCTGTCCCTACCTCTGCCTCTCCCGGCTCTGGTTTCTACTATCTTCTGTGCTTACCTAGCACTTGAGGCTGCCTCTGTCCATGTCACTCTTTAGATTCTCTGCTTCTTGACAGCAGGACCTATGTCTTCTCATTTCACACAGCACCAGACATATAGTCAGTGCTCAATTTGCATAAATGAAAAAGTATGTGATATTTAACAAAATTTTAAGTTAGCTTAAGAAATGAATGCCATGAAAATAGCCTAAATGTCCATCAATCATAGAAGTTTAAATAATTTATGAATTTATATTATAAGTAAAGCACAGCCACAAAGAAAGGTAGCTATACATCTTGACACCTAACGGTCTCCAACAATATTGGAGAAGAGAAGCCAGCAAGTCACAAACCAACATGTTCAGTGGGATCCATTTAGGAAAAGAAACAAGTGGTCTATTGTTTCTTCACTCTCCCTAACGCACTCGTGAGTCCTTTGTTCACCTGAAGTTACCTACAGTGGGGCGATGGTACTGGGAGACGGTGAGGGGTGGTGACAGCTCTGAAGGGGGATGGCCAGTGGTTACTGTATGGGCTTCTTGAATGACTCAGTTTTAACAATGCACATCTAGTCATTTAATAACTCTAAAGATATAAATGACGTCAAAAAATAAGTCATATGTTAATTCTTCTCAGATGTGATGAGGCCCAAAATTTGAAACTCAAGGATTGTACTTTGAAATTAGAGAAGAGCAAATGAAAGAAAACAAATACCTCTTTAAAAGCGGCCATTTGCTTCTGGATTCGGTTTACAAACCGCCACTGTATTACAAGACTGAAAAGAAACAAAACATTTCCACTTTTTCACATGAACCAAGAAAAAAATTTAAGGTACATTTTTTCCTGTTAGAGACAAAAAGTAAAGCCAAGTTAAGCCCGAGGCAAACAATGACTATGTGTGAGTAACACGGCACTGTTACAGAGGGGGAACATTGACACTCCGGCCAGAGGAAGGGAAGGGAAAAGGGAAGGCGAAGGGAGAAGACGGACAGTCTTACCAGGGAGAATTACCAAATTATTTTCAGTAAAATATTTACTAAATACCAAATTATTTCCAGTAAAATATTTACTAAACATAGTAAAATTAATGAAATACTTACTAAATATATTCTTTTTTATTCTTATTGGTGACAACTATTTCTGATCCACTGCTTTTCAACTCATGTTGATGGGTCTGCAATTAAGCAAACAATGATACCTTGATATGTTATTTGAATGAAAAAATAAATCACGCATACTATAGTTATACCAGGAACCTGGTGTTTTAAATTAAATCAATCCAAAAGCTAAGACAACTTAAAATATTTGTTTTACTAAAATAAACAGAGAATGAGTCAAATGTCAAAGAGAGTCGAAATTCTTGCTGAGACGCAGCTTTTGTTACTGGAAAATAAGTTTTAAAATAGAGCACAGAAAGGTATTGAAGGTATGCATTATCTGACATTGAAACTTGAGTCAGAACATTTGTTTCACAATTTATGTACCATTTTAATTATCAAAATTTACAAACCTGTCCAAAAAGTTCTTCATCTATGACAAACCTGAGGTCCAGTTCTGTTGGATCATTTTCAAGAATCCATCTTAGTGAATTGTAATATTCACTATCCTAGATGGAGAAAAGTGCACATTTAAAATTTGTATGTAAAAAGAAGACACCTGAACCTGCAAAGAAAGTATGCTGAGGGTCTGAATAATTGGAAAAAAGATGAAAAGGCCAGTTGGACATCTTTTCCAAACACACACAAGTATTAGAAAAAGAGGTGGATGACTAGCAAGTGTGAGAACAAAAATGCACAGATCAACAGAGTGGTGCCTGCTTCAAAGCTAGAAATCAATCTCTATGTGGAAGCAGTGGAGGTATCACTCTTACTATCCAGTTAAAGGGTCAAATCAAGCAGTTTTCAGATGAATACTAGCTTCCATGGATATCCAGGAGCACCTAGCACCTCTCTTGTAGGGCTGTGAGACTGTATTTGTAAAATGTCTAAGTAGCGATAAGGAGGTTGTTATTTATATCTGGCCCAGATTAAAGAAAAATCTCAAATACCTCAATTAATTGAAGAACCTCAATTAACCAACTCAAATAACTGTGTGATCTAATAATTTACAAAGAACCGTAGTGTTCACATTGATAATGTGACACAAGAATGGCATTAAAAAAGTACTTGGTAACAAGACGAGGTCTTAGAATCCATGTGTGCACACAGCATGTGAGGCTATTCAGCACAGGTGTGAAGGCTACAGTCAGGGATCTAATCCTTGGGTTTCTGTTTCTTTGTACTAGCCTATCACCAAGGCCTGGCCTGGGGCTGCCATTTTGAAAACATACACCATTCATCATTGAAAAATCACAATTCAAATGCTAATAACAGACATACATAAAAATGTCACATAGCATGTTGAAGTGTTTAGGGAGAAGTTTACTAATATCTGCAACTTTCTTTAAATGTATCAAAAAAATAAGATGGATACATGGTGGACAGATGGATGGGTATGACATAAAGTAAGTATAGGAAAAAAAGGCAAGGGAGGAATATTGGTAGTGCATACACACATATTCACTCCAACATTTTTTAAATAATTTTATTATATGTTATAAATTTTTCACAGTAAAATGTTAGGGAAAATATTCATTTGTGTTTTGGGACATTATAGTCTATTAATTTCATCATCATTAAAATATAACCTTAAAATATTCAGTTGCCTATTAAATGATCCCTTATATGATAAGTGAGAAAGACATACCACTGATTCCATATCATGAAGTGTTATAGGTTTGTGTAGCATCATCTTGTAAAATGGGCGGATGAAAAAACCTGGCAAAGAAATGAAAATATATTTAAAATTATTACTGCATGAAGGAAATAAGATAATTACATTAAAAAAAATTTTTATGCTTAATACTGACCATCCAACAGTTTGCCATGATAAACCGCCATTCCAGCTACCCGACCAATGAACTTGAAGTAAGAGAGGTGATCCTCATTACACAGTCCAGAGTTTGGGTTTATCTGTAGAGTATAATTATCCCTGTAAAGACAACCACATTTAAATGCTTGTCCCCCTGGCTCACAGGAAAATTTTAACATGACAAACAATTATGAATTATCTTTCTCTGTTTAGAGTTATTTCACTCTATTACAGTCACATTAGGCCACTGGATTTCATGGTTTTAAAAATCATTTCTGTCAAAAAGTGGAAAAAACTCTAATGTTCATCCACAGAGGAACAGATAAACATAATGTGGTATATACACATAATGGGATATTATTCAGCCTTCAAAAGGAAGGAAATTTTGTGCTATGACATGGATGACTTGGAGGATGTTATGTTAATCAAACAAGCCAGTTACAAATAAACTACTGTATGATTCCACTGATACAAGGCACCCAGAGAAGTCAAATCATAGAGACAGAGAGTAGAACAGAGGTTACAAGGAGCTGGACCAAGTCAGGGTTTAATGGCTACAGAGTTACAGTTTGGGATGATGAAAAAGTTCTGGACATGGACGGTGGTGGTAACTGCACAGCAACGTGAACATACTTAAAGCCCTTGAACTGCACACTTAAAAGCGTTAAAAGGGTAGATTTTATTATTAATTTTTTGGCATTTCACTATTTTTGTAAATTAAGGTATCATTGATATACAGTCTTATAAAGGTTTCACATGAGCAACATTGTGGTTTCAACATTCACCCACCCATATGATCAAGTCCCCCCCCCACTCCATTGCAATCACTGTCCATCAGTGCAGTAAGATGCTATTGAGTCACTACTTGTCTTCTCTGTGCTATACTGCTTTCCCTGTGCCCCACCCCTACATTATGTGTGCTAATTATAATGCCCTTTAATCCCCTTCTCCTTCCCTCCCCACCTACCCTCCCCCACCCCTCCCCTTTGGTAACCACTAGTCCCTTCTTGGAGTCTGTGAGTCTGCTGCTGTTTTGTTCCTTCAGTTTTGCTTTGTTGTTATACTCCACAAATCATTTGGCACTTGTCTTTCTCCACCTGGCTTATTTCACTGAGCATCATGTCCTCCAGCTCCATCCATGTTGTTGCAAATGGTAGGATTTGTTTCTTATAGTATTTCATTGTGTATATATCCCACATCTTCTTTATCCATTCATCTACTCATGGACACTTGGGTCGCTTCATATCTTGGCTATTATAAATAGTGCTACGATAAACATAGGAGTGTATATGTCTCTTTGCGTCAGGGATCTTGTTTTCTTTGGGTAAATTCCTAGAAGTGGAATTCCTGGGTCAAATGATATTTCTATTTTTAGTTTTTCTGAGGAACCTCCATATTGTTTTCCATAATGGTTGAACTAGCTTACATTCCCACCAGCAGTGTAGGAGGGTTCCCCTTTCTCCTCATCCTCACCAGCATTTGTTGTTGTTTGTCTTTTGGATGGTGGCCATCCTAACTAACTGGTGTGAGGTGATATCTCATTGTGGTTTTAATTTGCATTTCTCTGATGATTAGTGATGTGGAGCATCTTTTCATGTGTCTGTTGGCCATCTGAATTTCTTCTTTGGAGAAGTCTTTTCATATCCTCGGCCCATTTTTTAACTGGGTTATTTGTTTTTTGGGTGTTGAGGCGTGTGAGCTCTTTATGTATTTTGGATGTTAACCCCTTATCAGATGAGTCATTTACAAATATATTTTCTCATACTTTAGGATGCCTATTGTTCTGTTGATGGTGTCCTTTGCTGCACAGAAGCTTTTCAGTTTGATGTAGTCCTATTTGTTCATTTTGGGTTTTGTTTCACTTGCTAAAAGGGTACATTTTAAGTTATGTATATTTGACCACAATTTCAAAAAAAGTTACTTCTGAAACAAAATTAGTTATAGTATCCCTTTTCTGGCACATTGTAACGTACATTTTCCTTGCATCATACAACTCTTGTACCTTTCAGAGCAGTGATTCCTTCCCCTGGCCTCATATAGTCACTGTAAAGGCACTTACGTAGCAGAATATTCAAACAGCCCGTAATAAGGATTAAACATTTCCTTCGAGATGAGGAAGAACCATTCTCTGGCAACGCCTCCATAATCTAATCCCTTTTCGCCATCAAACTCGATCCACAGTCGCGCCTTGAGGAAGTCTGCCCTCTTGGCACCCATGATTCTCCTGTAAGAATCCTCAAGGATGGTTGCACGGCGAAGTTTCATTTCAAATTTGTTAGGAATGTCATTCTGAAAATGCAGAGAAAAGAGACTTATGGTTTAAATCAATTCAACGTAATGGCAAATTTATCTGCCATGAAAGTTATAAAATTCACTGTACTCTACCCTGTGCCCAAGACCTCTTTACCGGGAAAATATGACCAGGAATATTGCCTGTATTTCCCCTGTCGTATGAAAGAATTCATGCACTTTCTCTAATCACATAATAATAAAGACTTCTGATTTTTAAATCTGGAAAAGACACTACTGACAGTGGTAATCGTGCTCACATGAAGGTACTTCATGAAGAGTCTTTCCATATTCAGTTCCAGTGGGGACCATGCCATGCCCTGCAGTCTGGCGAGTTCCTGCTACTTGTTGCCCGCCTGCTGGATCAGGATTTTTCCTACCTCCACTTTCCTTGTCAGAGCCTGACCTGCTTCACTCATTCATAAGCACTCACATTTACAGACTGTGCCAGGCAATGTTTCCATCATTTTTCTGGTTAAATTCACTTACTTCTCATAACATCGCTACGAAGTAGTTACTATTATAATATCCATTTTCTGGATGAAGAAACTGAAAATGGAAATTAAAGTCTAAGCTCCCGAGTCTCTACTCTTAATGAGTGAGCTATGCTTCTCATTAATTTTTTGAACATCCTTTGCTTATGTGATAAATGAGATAACTAAACTTTTAGGCAGATCTTATTATAATTTCATTAAAAAATACGAATATTTTATTTTTTAGTATTTTGTGTGCAACATTCAAGTGGGAACAAGTAAGAGAAAAATGCTACCAACATTCTGTCCCTTCAAAAAAAGAAAGCAACGTTAGCTCTAAGGGGAGAAAAATCAACTTCACTCTCAATATGTTTAGGAAAAGTGGAAAGTCTTATAGAAACATAATATAAACACTCTATATAAGCAATATAAGCAGTTTCCTCTGCTGCTTATGCAATTAAAAAAAAAAAAGATAAGATGGGAGAAAGGCAATTTTAGTCTAGACACTAGGCCCATAGTGAAGGTAAGTCAGTCTCCAAGCGTTTACTGAAGGTCTGCTCAGGGCCAGACCCCATGCTCGGTAGCTATGACGGTGGGCCTGGGATAGGAGGACAAGTGAATAATAACACAGCATTAAGATGTGGTCACCTCCTCAGAGTTCACAATCTGGGGTGTGTGAAAAATAAATGTAAATGTTACTAATTCTGAGACTTAAAAGAATAGGAAAATTGTTAATAATAGAGATATAAGCAATGTTCTATGGGAGCCTAAAAGATTGAGCTCAATTAACCACAAATGAGGCAATCAAAGAGATTTCAAGAGGAAGTGTTAACTGGAGGACAGGAAAGACTGAGGAGCAGCCGGCTAAGAGTAGAGCACACAGGAGAGGCCTATATACTGAGGAGCCAGCCGGTATAGGAGGAGGCGGCGGGAAAGGAGGGACTACAGAGGGGGGAGAAGGTGAGAAGTGGTCTGAGGCCAGAGTGCAGGAAGCGTGAATGCTGGCTGGGGTGACAGCTGCTGAGCAGGGGCTGCATGATCAGACTGCTGTGTTCTCAGGAGCAAGGGGGTAGAACGTAAAGGGTGGTTTTAAGGAGAGACAAGATGCACACCAGTCAGTGAAAGACCCCTGATACAGACAAAGGGAGAGGAGGGAAATAGACCATGTGAGTGAGTGACGGCAATGGAAGAAAGAGAGGCTGGGGAGCAACTTCCACATCTGAGCCAAGTAGTGGACCAGTACATGCATCCTGGAGTCAGGTGGCCCTGTGTTCAAATCCCAGCTCCACCTTACATATCTTTTCTAAGGTTTAATTTCCTCATCTGTACAATAGGGGCAATAATATTTACCCTCATGAGGCTGTTTCAGAACTTAAGGGGATACGCATTTCACATGCTCACATGGTATCCAGCACAAAAGGCACTCAGCAATCATCAGCCATCCTTATTCCTAAATAATGAGACGTTAGGGATAAGCAGAGCAAAAGGCCAAGGACAACTCAAGGCTTTGTAGCACTGTTTTTTTTTATATTTTCATCTGTCTTGGTATTGTGTCCTCTTGCTGTGATTTATCTTGATATAGGTTTTATTTTCTAAATCCTGCTTGAGACTTGTTAAACTGAGGATTCAGATTCTCAGCCTCTTCCCCATGCTCTCCAGTCTCTCCTTCTGGAATGACTCCATGTCTCTTAACCTCTTTCGTGTTCTTATCTCTTTAGGTACCGTTGTTGCATTCTGGGTGATTTCCTCACAAACTGTCACTTAGTCACCAATTACATCATGTTGGTTAGGAACATGGACTCTGGAGTTGGACCACTTGATGTGTGTCTGGCTTTGCACTCAGAACCGTGGGGCTTGATTGCATTACCTAATCTCTCAGTTTCCTCACCTGTAAAATGTGATAGTAACAGCCCCTTCCTTACAGAGTTATTTGAGTGATTACATGACTAATACACATAACTTGCTAAGAAGAATGCCTGGTACGTAGTGAAAGCTCCATAAGTATTACTGCTTTCATTACGGTTTTTGTGTTCTTCATCAACTGGTGTTTATAAAGGCCTTGTCCCTCATCACCTGCTGCCTGGGAGGCATTAACAATTAGATGTTGTTAACACGTTTATGAGTGTTCAGAGTAGCAAAGGGAGAAGCTAGTGCTTCTATTCCACCACCCTTTTCTCCTTAAAAGTGAAAATGTTTACCATACAAATAAATCAACACTTAACATCCCAAAGAATTTTAAGAAGTAGAGAACAAATTTCCAGAGCAATTTTAGTACAGTTATCACTAAAGATGAGTTTTTAAAGTTGCTGATATTTTAGGTCTTACTGAGGCATAAAATATTTACACACACACACAAAAAAAACTATTCTATTTCATTTCTGCTAAACTTTGGATGAAAAAAATATATGGTAGCGGATCCACCATCTTAAAACTTTGGACAAGCAGGCTTCCAGCTCAGAACGTGAGAAAGTGTAACCCAACATAGCCACCTAGTGGTAGTATTCCTAAACTGCAAGGAATGGGGAACAGCAAATTAGGAAGGCATCAAAAAATGGTTATCATCAACAGACAGAAAAGAGATGGGCAGAGGATGGGTTTAGTTCCAAACATAGTAAATTTGTGGTGATGGAAAAAAGTTGAGTGAACATATCTGATAAGCAGAATGAGACAAGTAACAGGAGCATTCTTCCAATCACCGTGGTATTTTCAAATTAGGCAGACATGAATTTGCAGCTGTAGAGCATGAATTGCCCATCACTGGAAAACAACAGTCACAGCAGAAAAGGCATCCGGAGAGTTCTCCGATATGATCAAAGACTAGGCCAGGACATAAGCTCCTGAGTTGCTCTTGCTCAGATTCGACAAAGCCCAACCCCCATAAACCCCACCAAGAATCTAGGTTGGAGCTCTTTAAAAGTGAACTTTTAATCTGATTTTTATGTATTACAAGATATCTTGAAAAATGAAGACATGAAATAATTCTAGTCTCTAATGATATATAACAGCTACTCAAAAAAATAAGCATTTTTCCTCAGAAGGAGCTATCCAAAGTTGTTAAAATATAGAATAAATTCTCTATTATTTTTTAAAATGCATTTCCCATACTTTCAGTCTAAATAACAAACACTCCTAAGAGCTCATTATAAGCATCACTAACCTGCTTCTTCAACTTTCTTCGGAAGAACTCATACTTTCTTTTGTAATCCCTGGAGTAGGGCACTGCCTTGAGTTGAAAATTTCAGAAAAATAAAGAAGGTTTAGGTTGTTTTTATTCTGGAACAATTTTAAAAGTTCCCTGCTGGGTATTTTATGAACATAAGTTAAAGGCATTAAAAGCGAGTATTTGGAAAGAAAAGTTAATTTGAAGAAAAATATATATAAAACTTAAAAAATTTTAATTTCTCTATTTAAGATAAAATTGTATTCAATAATTCCTATGGCTGTAATATTCATCATGCAATATTCTTGAAATGCAACATGCCAAAAACAGGAAATTTCTTCCAAGTAGAGAAATATTAGAAATGAAAATTTCCACTTCTGAAGAGACTTTCAAAGTGATTTCTCCATTAAGGAACAATTTGAAAAATGTACTTTTTCCTTGAACTCAGAGGAATTGCCTTTTTTATCCATATTTAAAAGACTAAACATGGAAACTAAAGAGCAATCTAAAAGAAGTGATTTTTAATTTTATTTATTTTCATATTTATTTTCATGAATTAGAAAACAAAACCTACAAAACTAAAAGTGTAAAAAGCAGTTATATAAAAGAGGATAATGATTTCACTATTAACTTGACTCAAGAGTAGTTTAAACATCACACATGGTAATATTTATACTTAAATATGAATGTGTCATATATATAGGCGTTTACAATGATTTCTACCAAAAAGTTCAAGACATGGCCATGGAGTTGATAGGGTGCTGTCTGCTTCCTCACCTGCTACACTCGCGGCTCCTCTCTGGTCTGCTGAGGGTTGCCAACAGGCTCTTGCAGGCAGTGGCAAGCACCAGCCTGAGCACAGGGTCCACCACCTTAACATTCTGACTCACTTATCTCCCAAGGCTATTATTGTGTAGGGCTAAGAATATTGCCTTTATACTCTTTTCAAATACTCTTTCCCCCAGGAGACCTACAGTGGGGACTGTGCGGAGAGGTGAGAATTGCAAATTTCCTCTCGGTGCCTGTAGAGTTATGCCCTTGACCATTCACCTTTCAAGAGGGAGAGAGAGGTGAGAGCACAATCCCATCAGAGCATACTGATACAAAGAGACTTACTGGTCCAGTTATTGCTACATTCTGCAACCGAGGATCTTCCCACTGTGTTCTTTTTATATCTGGAGACAGAGAGAAAAAAAAGATGTTCTTCATTCGCATGTACAAATTCAGTGTTACAAAAAGTAATGTAATAAAATTATCACATTGCACATACTGTGATTTATGTAGAAGATTCTTCCATCTGTGTGAGTTCTTTCTTCCCACCCTGGCTATAATAAAGAATGTGTTTCAATTATTTTAGGAAAAGGGTTTAAATGTATGGGTAGAAAAATGACATTGGTTATATGGTTAATGTAATTTGCATATTCTATTCTTAGTAGAAGGCATCAACATTTTAGTAATAATATTAATTATAGTGGTTAAAGAACTACTGTATTCCACAATATAAACACTTTGACAGAGCCAGGTTAGACTGGTAACAGTTTTATAAACTTACAGGTAAAGGTCCCAGATCATTGGAAGAATCAAGTGACATCTTTCCTCTCAGATGAGCTGGAATTTTCAGTCTTGGATCTTCCTTTTTTGGTAGAATAAATAAGAAAACAATTCACACATGTAAGTTTTAAAATCATGAAAGTCAATCTATTACTATGTTTTCTAATATTAATTGACAATTCAACTACTCTCTTTAAAAAGTCCACTTTAATTTCATTTGCTTAATCTGTGAAATGATATTTCCTCTGTTAAAAATCTATCATTCCCAGGCTACAAGATTCAGTTCTCAAATCTCAAAGTGGGGTCAGTTTTAATACCTTCACAAAATCATCCAGAATATTTTGCCCCACTCTTTAGGGATTGTGTCACTATACAGCGTCTTCTGTGAATAAAACTAGCAAAAGAGTGGGACATTAAACTGGATGACATGTTATTTCTGAGGCCCTGAACATGCTTTTTGACACCTGTCTGTTAAGGTGTTGATTTATTAATATTGTTAAGAAACAGGGAGTTAAGCTCAAAAAAGATCATTAAATCAGTTCAATTTGTTGAAAAAGAAAACAACAAAGTCAATGCATTTGGCTTAATTTATCTATTTTTATTATTTTAATATTTTATTAAATAATTTTTAAACTATTTCAGTTTTATCTAGGTATTTTAAATAAATCCAAATCTAGTCATCTGCTGTTGATTTTCAGTAATTTTTCTATTAGTGATGAAATAACTACTAAACAACCATAAGCCTTATCTTAAAATAAAAATACTTATTCTACCTAACCTCATGGGATTTTTGGGGTATTAAATGAAATACAGATTCAAAAGTACCTTGGAAACATAAAGCCTCATATAAAGGTAAAGGATTACCTTTAAGAATTCTTCCTAAGTATTTATGGCTAGTGAGTTAAAAACTGGAAATAGAAAGTAAATGTATTTCCAGGAGACAATCCCCCAAAATATTAAAAATAGACATTAACCTATCTTGAATAGTAACAATACTATTAGAAATTCAACATTATCTTTAAGTGAATACTAGGAAATGTAGGTTACACATTAGGTTCATTTAAAGATTAAGAGAACTATACACAAGAGATTATTATTGTTGTTGTTATAAATGTAAACTGGAGAGTATTGAAGTTACCCAGGTGGTGGTTTTGGTGTTGTGGTCAATAAAGAAAGGCCTCCCATTTGGTGCATGCCGGACCTCCCAGCCCTTAGGAAGGAATCCTTGCTCCACTTCAGATGGCTGGGTCACCTGCTGTGCTGAATCACCTGTGGGGACCTGTGGTTGAGTGCATGAAGAGGAGCTCTGGCTTGGCAGCAACTGTCCAGTCTCCATGGTGGCCTAGCACATTAATTAAACCATGTTGTAATCTTTTATAGAGCACACAAATAGCTGTGGTTAAAAGGTAACCTAACCTGCAAACAGAATACATACTTATAAATAGGCTGAACACTGGAGGCACATTTTTCTAATAAAATGTTCTGTCAAAACTTAATTTTTAAAATAATTCATAATTTCTCAGCTAATTCTTGAGCAGCTGGTTAAAAATCCAAGTCTGATGTGCGTCTGTGTGACTGAGGAAGCTATGTCAGCTGGCCTGTGCCCTGGGTGCCTGGGAAGCCAAGTGTCAACTGGAGGAGGTTGGCTTTGCTCCCTAGAAAGACTTGTAGAGTGGGGAATACCCCATATGCAGATGGGTTCAAATACCGGGTGAACAAACGGAATGGCAAATATCTACTAGAAATATCTGTAAGATGTATCTACTAGAAATGGGTAACTGAAATGTAATATATTCATATGATGAAATATTAGGCAGTAGGTAAAAGAAAGATACTATATTTATGTATAAAGGAACATGGATAGGGCCTTAAAATAAAGTTGAGCAAAAAAATATTTAGAATAGTACAATATAACATATTTGCAAAATCTGAAACACACATACATAAATGATATTTTGTGTTATTGACCTATCTGTAAGTATAGGGGTACCCAATAAACTGAAGATGGGAGTTCCCTCTGGAGAGTGGGACCAAGTGCTTGGCTAAAATGAATTTAGTTTTACCATAAGATTTTATTTTTAAAAATAAAATGTCTAGAAACAAGTATGATAATTGGTTAGTGGTGGTAAGTTCTGGGTGTTAAGAAAATGGGTACTTGCTGTATTATTCTCTGTACTTTTCAGTGTTAGAAATGTTCTCAATAAGAGAAATGGTGATAAGATAAAATAAATATTTTCCTAAACACTTACAAAGAAATATTATAAACAGTACCCTCTGTTGCCAAGGACAAGGTATCATTATCACAAATTTCTTTAATAGATACTAATCGCAAAGATTATCTTTAAGCAAAATAATTACCTTAACTATTCAAATTAGAAAATTACCCAATGGATGGGATCATTTACTCTGTCCTGTTATTACTACTTGGAGTGGTTTTTTATAATAACAAGAGGTAATTCACATATATTAGAGATCTGTAGGAAATGGTAGACATTTAGCACCAGTGTCAGAAAATAATTAGAAGGTGCTAGAAACATCCAATATATACTATAAAATGATGCAACAGCTTCTATAGGAATACGATGGTTTAAATTATATAACAAAACAAGTTAGTGGGTAGATTGCATGGTACCTGTACAGTGGGCTTTGTCCAAGTAGTAGTTCTGGAATTGTGATCTACGTAATATGATCTACCTCTCTCATCTTGTTTTTCTTCCCAACCTGGTGGTAATCCAGATGAAGTAGGCAAAAGCTAAAGTGAAGAATAACAGGAGAGTTGAATATTAGTAAGAAAGAGTACTTTCAAAAGGACCATATCCCTTTTTCATTGCTAGTCTCTTTAAAATGAACGATGTTTTAAATCGTATTTCAAACTGTACAACATAAAGTATACAACATGTCACTTTAAAAAACCCCAACCAATAGAGCAGACAATAATGAGAGTGACACCTCCACTAATAAAACATTATGATAATAACAACCACACACTGAACACTTCAACACAGATGACGTCGTTTAACCTCCACACAAACCTTAATGAGACAATTGCTATTATTAGCTCATTTTATTTACAAGGAACTGAAGCACAGAAATTGAAGTAATTCCCTAACACATACGTTGCTAGCATGGAGATGAGATTTGAATCCAGGCAGTGTAACTACCCGTGTGTACCATGTTAAAAGTTATTCTGCCCTCTTTCTTTGAGGACTGGGAGGTGCTGTTTATTATAGTTTAGTATAAATGAATAAAGAGGTCTGGTTTACTTAGAACAGTTCAGGTCTGGCTGTTCTTTTTGTCTTTTGAACCAGACTCGACTCTTCAAGACTTGGCCTTACACACAAAAACTACCACCATTAGTCTGTTCACTTGACACACTGTTCCCTAGATGCAGAGGGGCAGCTGTACGTTGCTGACAGTCATGATGAGCTGTTAGTCTACAAAACAATGGACTTCAAAGTTGCCCAGTTTTACAAATGCACAACTGCTGAGTAGATAAATGAAATGCAGTAGATACATCTACACAATGGGATATCATGAACTACTGAGACAGGCAGTAACAGGGATAAATCTCAAAAACATCATATTAAGTGAAAGAGGCCAGACACATAAGACTACATACTGTATGATTCCACTTATATGCAATTTTCAGAAAAGACAAAACTATAGCAACAGAAAGTAGATGAGTGGTTTCCTGGGGCTGAGAGCCAGTGTTGGGATTGAGGGAGTGTTTGGAGTGATGGAAACTTTCTTAAACTTCATTGCAATGATGTTTGTACAACTGGAAAAATTCACTAGAACTCATTAATTTGTATGCTTGCAAATGGGTGGATTGTGTAGTATGTAAATTACCATACTATACATTACGGGGGATTTACATTACACGGAAATGGAATGTGCACAGACCCTGAAGAGGGAGAGAATTAGAATCTGGGAACAGACTGGAAGGGCCCAGATGAGAAGGAAGGCAGCAGTAGGTATCCGTGGGTGGATTAAGCAGGGGAGGTTGAAGGGGCTGGGAGCCTGGGAGTTTTCATTTGGTTTAGGAAACAAGTGGGAGCCCTAGAAGGAAGAGACAAAGTAATGAGAGCTGAGTTAGGAAGAGGATGGAGGCTGGGAGACCAACACGGAGTCAACAGTCCAGGCATGAAGTTGTTAGGGTCTAAGCTCCAGTCAAGGCCAAGATGGGGAATACAACTAGGAAGGAAGCAGAATGCCTCGGCAGACTGGTGGATGTGGGACTGGAGTGGAGAGAGAGACAGAGGCTGACAGACTGCAATGTGGCCACTGAGCCTGCCGGCACAAATGCACACCTCCCAAGTGACCAAAGCCTGAATGACGCTTCATGTGCAGAGCAGAACCCGGTGCTAGATACCCTGGGCTGCGTGCACTGCAGGCAGCTGGGCACCACAATCTAGAATTGTAGGCTGCCTTCAGCAGACCACCTCCAGCCAGCACAGTGCTTCAACTGCAAAGCCTGGGGATCACCCAGTCACCAGTACCCAGAGACATTGCTTTCTTTTTGTGGGAGAGACTGTTCTCCCACCTTTGTCTTGAAGAGTCTACCTGCCCCATTTCCCCTCCCTGGAACCTCATCCCCAGAGCCTAGATTCCGTGCCAAATCAGGTTTCCTGCTAGATAGTTAAAAAGAGTTGCTGGGTTTTATATCCTTATTGACGACTGAGGGAAGACAATAAAACTCACCACAGGAAGTGTAGGCTGTTCCTCAAACGTATAGGCTTGTAAACTGCCTCTTCTGCTGGAATGATTCTTATTAAAAAAAAAAAAACAAAGGAATGACAGTAACTTTTGGTCTTAGAATGGTAGGTAAGGTAGTGGAGGTGGGTATGATGGGGCCGAAGAAGGGATGCCATCTAGGAAGTGACCATGGGGACTACATGCAAGTAGCCAGCTGACCTCAATACCACCCTGTGCAGATACCTTCCACCTCCCCGCTCCACTTCCCCAAACTGTTTCTTTAAATCACTGTGCCCCAAACTGGATTTGATTTAGCCCTGTCCACACCTGCTCAGACCTGTCCCTTCTCAGGCATTCCTTGTTTCAGTGGGTACCGCTTGAGTCCAGCCCAAGTCAGATATCAGTCAGTCACCAACTTCCCCATCCTGCCCCTTACCAGGTCAGTCACCAGATCCTATTCATTCTGTTTCTTTACTAGCTTTCAATTATATTACCCTTTAGTTCAAGATTTTTTTTTTTTAATTTCAAGTTTTCATCACTCATCACCTTGATTATTACTGCAGCAAAATCCTAAAAGATTTCCCTGCTTCAAGTCTTGTTTCCTTAAATCTACTCTCTGTACCTCACTCTGCAGGGCAAGAGTGCCCTACAGTGTGAATCTAATCATGGCATTCCTGACCTAGCTCAGAGACCAACAGTGACGGTGACCCCACAGTCCTCGGGGTAAAATAAAATCTGTAGCACACAGCACAGTGTTAGTGAGCTTCCTGACCTGGCTTTTCCTGATGGCTCCAGACTTGACACCTCACAACCTACCCTCTGGATATTTCAGATAATTTGTTTCCTGGAAATCCATATCCTTCTTTCCTTGTGTTTTTATACGCATGCTGTTGTCACTATCTGAAATACTTCAGTTCTGTTATTTAACAGCATCAAAATCTATACTAGACATATAAATTAAGTCAGAATACCCACTGCAATATTGTTTACAGTAGCAAAAAAACTGTAAACAACCTAAAATCCAGCAATAGGATCTAGTTAAATATCTTAACAGTTACTTGCAAAAAGGAATGATTTTTGACGACTTTTTTTATTGAGTGCTGCCATATTTACTGAAATGGTCCAATGTGCATGGTACAGCAAGTTAAAAAAGTGTGTATAAGCTGATTTCAGGATAAAAAATCATATACAAACATAGGGGTGTGCATGCATGTTCATGAACATATTAGAAAATGCTTGGCAGTATATGCCAAACCATTAATAGCAACTGAGGGAGCATCTGTTAGAAGTAAAACAGAAGAATTTTTATTGTGTACATCTCAATACTGTTTCTATTTTTAACCATAACTATGCAATACTTCAAGAATAACATTTTTGAATAAGCAAATGGATTGAATTTCAAAAGGTACAAAAGATGTATATCCTGCTCACCCTGTTCCTCTCTTCAGAGCCAAGTAATGTCACCAGTTTACTGTTTAATCATTAAGACCTAAGATCCACATATTTATTCTCTGCCATTTAAATAATTTACATAAATAGTAGCATATTAAACACACTGTTCTATACCTGACTGTTTTACACTGACCAATATCTCTTAAGGATTGTTCCATGTAACATATACATTCAAAACTAGTTCATTCTTTTCACTGGCTGCCTAGTATTTCATTGTATGGATGCGATGTATTACTTTCATAATTAAAGAAAAAAAAAACAGGAGGAAAGGGAATAGGATCTTATGTGACTTATCACCAGCAAATCAACATAGCTTATCTTTAAGTCGTTGATGACTTCTCCCACTCTCTTGACCAAAAAAAAAAAAAAATGAAACAAATGGAAGACAGAATAAACAAGTGGAAGAAAGGAAGGAAAGGGAGCAGACAGGCAGACCTGCTGTTGGACATTCACATAAATATTTATATAAAACTGTTTACACTGAAGATTGTTGAGAAAGGTGTTAGAACAGAAGTCAGCAAAATTTTCTGTTAAGGTCCAGACAGTAAATATTTTTTGTGGGCTGTACAGTTTCTATGATCAAACTACTCAACTCCATCTATGCAGAGTGAAAAGGTGTCATAGGCAGTATTTAAATGGGTGCGGCTTGTGTTCCAACAATTCTTTAACCAGTACCTAATGCCTTGGATATAGTCAGCCCTCAAGAAACATTTACTAACTGAATGAAAAGCAGGGGAACACCAACTGGAAATGCCATAGCATCCTCAGAGAATAATCTTTGTCTTCCACTGAAAGATCTCCCTCAAGGATACAAATTAGAGAGCTGGCCACAAAGATCCCATTATGGCAGCACGTTTTACAGCAGTTGCTAGAGCGATAAGATAAGTTAAACTCCCTATTTTGTCAAAGTACATCAGCTCTTATTTACATGTGTGTTTGTGATAGGAGGAGAAAAGCGGCCCCTGACATGCAGGATCTGGTCTGATCAAGACAAAATTAAGACCACTTGACAATCTAACAGACAAATGCCTGAACACAGACAAAACGTGAAAACTATCCAAGCCACAAAATACCAAGTATCTTCCTATCCTGGCAAATGTGACTGCTGCTTTTTCACTAATTATAGCTTTAGCCTCACCACAGATAAGATTTGGGACTCCCCAGTCACAGAATTACCTGTTTCCTGACAGTATCCAGTACAGAGCAAAGCCCTGCTTCCTTAAACCCTCCTCAAGACCACCTGACATGAACCCAAATCTTTTTCATCTTTTCTAACATACTCTTAACTGAGACATTTAGGGTGTGTATTCTTCTTGCTCAAATGAGTAATAAACCCAACTTGTTCAATTACGAGTATGTTCCTGGCAGTCTCTGGCTGGAGGGCCTTGATTTATAAAATGGACATTCAGACTCCAATAACCATTTGGATTATCCATGACTGCGTTTGGGGGATATTTGAAAAAATGACCATGCTGTAAAGTCCTAAAGTCCCTAACACATTATTACATGACACTTGAGAGAAAATTTTTCTCATCACAAGAAAAAAATTTTTTTAACTATGTGAAGTGATGAATGTTAACTAAAGTTACTATGGTAATAATTCTGCAATATATACTTATATCAAACAATTATATTGTACACCTTAAACTACTACAATGTTGTATGTCAGTTGTATCTCAATAAAACTGGGGAGAAAAAGACAAAACTTTAAGTAAAAGTTAGATACTGAATGGAATAATATATATAATATAAAATCCTGAAGCTACAACAAAATCTAAGAGCATCTTACTGAGCTGGATACTGGCTGGCTGGTGGCTGGATTTCCACAAATAGTGAGTCTGGCATTCAATTCTTCTGCAAGATGAGCCTGAACATCCGAATTATTTGATGGTGGGGGTGATGGGAAAGCCTGATTGCTATACATGGTGGCTTCATCTTCTCTTATAATTTCCCAGTTCTAAAATGAACAGAATAAGATTAAGCCACACAAACCTTAATCTATTGCTATAACATGTATCTATCAACAAGAACAAGAAGATTATTTCTACCTCAGAAGACTCTCGATTGTCAATACTTTCTGTTTCCTCAGATATCTGCCGCCTGGTGGTAAATGCACGTGCTTGCAGTTGGATGTTACCATTCTCAGCTTCTGTTAGGTTGTCTCTGTATTAGAAATATAAAAAGCATCATCACCCAGGTCTAAAGAGAGTTAAATGATAGTTAAAGATTCTGGGATCATTTTTTTTTAACTACTGGAGACCAGAATTTATTGTTTCTGGCCAAAGAGTATTCCACCAGGCATAGATCAAGTAGTGGGCACATTGGTATCTTCAGAGTACCCTACAGAGTTAAAATTTTTGTGAAAATGCGCAGCATGTCTGACTTTGATATTTTAGTTCATTACTATGCCTAGGATAATTTCTGACGTGTTTGGGCACTCAAAGTATTGTTGAATGAATGAATTCATTGAGTTTCATAAATAATTTCATTATATTATCCTGCCATGTTATTACAAGAGTAAAATCTGAAGTAGCTCTAGATAGTTCCTAAAAGAGAAGCTTTAAGAGTTACAGGATCAGATAGTAACACTTCCCAGAACTGATCTTATGCCAAGAGTAGAGTTCCCCGTGCATGAAAGCAGAGGGCTGAATGAAAGACAGTGTAAGGATACTATAATTAAAAACTCAATAGATTATGGATTAAATGGTATCTATTTTTGATCATGTACAGTAATGGGCCTGGTCTGAAAAGGATAATAATAAAGGCATGTCTGAATTTAGGGAAGATGGTAAATCAGACTGAATACCCTTACCCTAATCATTTACTAGTTATATTATTCTAGCCATTTGCATTTAATATAACCAATCCATCAAATTAAGGATTTTGTGCAAATATTTAATAACAAAATTACTGTTAATTTATTTAATGCCATATAAGCCCAGGATGTCCAGAAGACCAGTTCTTACTGTACTATTGCTGGAGAAAACATAATTTTGACAGATGGTCCTAAGGAAATGCTTCAGTATTTTTCCCTCCAAATACTTGATTTTGGCTAGCTGAATTATGTCAGCCATAGTGAAAGAAGTATGATTCTGCTCTAGTTAGGCTTCCCATACTACTGAGGTATGCAACAGAAACAATTTTGTAGAATTTCAGTATCTTCAATTTTGCAGTCTGAAGAGATCAATACGTCTGTGCCATGAAGAACTTGGATCGCTAATTTGCTTTGGAAGTATTTAAGAACAGAAAATATCTATGAAAGTGTTGGACTATATCAGACACAAAATACCAAAACCAAAAATTAGGAGGTTAATGGACAAATAAGAAAAATTTTAAGTTGGTATCAAAAAGCAGAAGACCAAAGAGAGACTTCATAAGGCTATGAGGAAGGAGAAGTGGAAAGACATTTGATAATAAATATGGATAATGGGAGGATTTGTCAATGCATATTTATAAATCTACAGTCTGATGATAATATAAGAAAATGTCATAAGGTAATATAAATTAGAGTACCTTAAAGATCATTGTCCTTGACCTGCATACATTGGAAATTATGTTTATGTTGACCAGATTGGAAAATGGGCATTTAACAAAAGATCCTTACTATTGAGTCCTTTATGTTTTACAAATAATTTATATTTTAAAAATAGTGTACGGTAGAAATTAACATTTTATTATATGTTAGTAAAAAAAACACAAAAAAGATTGTAAGATTTCTTAAGTCTAAATAGTAAGATGTACCCTTTGGGTTACATAATTAAAAAAACATAAATAAGTGACCATTTATTAAAAGAAGAAGCAGTTAGAAGGATTGTATTTGTGATTCAAATAATTCTGAATATCATCAGAACATTAAAAAAAGAAAACAGCTAAGAGAGAATTTTTTAAAGCAGTGGGCCATAAACCCCTGGCATTCTTACAGTGGATGATCCATACATGATGAATACATTTGAGACATGACCTCAAAGTGAAAATGAGTGGCCCAAATGTATTCAGATCACAAACATGAAAGCTACCAGCACATACTGAGGGGTTGGTCTTCTCCACTGCGTTCTTCTAGATTCATGGTTTACATAGTAGGTCCTTCCAAGAATATCCTGCCTTTCTTCCCATCCTGGAGGTAGAGGAGAAGGTTCTTGTTGATGCTGCAAATGGCACGCAGCATCTGGTTGGTCCAAGACAACCCAGCCAGGCTGAAAAACAGAATGGCAACACTTAAGTTTATGTTGGATTTTTTAAACTTATAAATTATGCTAGAGGAAATTTTAGAAGAAATTTAGCATATTCATTCCAGAAATTATGCAAAGACAGAAATGGCACATCACCAACTTCAAAGACCATGAAAATATGAGTATTTTATGATATGAAGACTTTTTTGCAAAATGATAACGTTTAAATTTTCCTTAAAACTGTTTTACAATTTTTCAAAAAAAGTTTTAAAACATATCTAATATTTTAAAAGGACAGAAAAAACTTTTAAATAAACAATGATAAAGGTACTGAGAAATGTGAAGCATGAACTACTGTAACCATAGGTTATTCTTTAAATTATAAGCCTATGAGTGAAGGGTAGGGATGTCTTACTGGGCATTCTCTCTCCCACAGAGAAAGCACGTTGTTTAAGAAAGAAATAACTACCTGAGTCTTGAGAAAAACAATCGGTAGATGAAGGCCAAGTATGTATAGGCATGATAGGGAAGGGTAAATTATTTACAAGTAATTGCTACAGTGAACTCTCTAGTGACTGAGAAGTCGTTATGATCTTTGGTCTGACTTTTCTTTCTCCTCTGGCCCATGGAAAGGCACTTTGGTCAAGTCATAAAAGAGCAAAGAAAGTTTTGTTTTGTTTAAATACCAAGAAGACACAGGAAATTTCCTCAGAGACTAGTGAGGGACAAATACATACAAAGCCTCATCTAGGGTAGAGTAAAGAATTATTTGAAAAGGGTAGCAAGAGTTAATGACATTCCTTTATGCAAGAAGCCTCCTAAAAGAAAGGCAGTAGGTAAAAGGTTCTACTAAATACCAATGTGGTTAGGGAAGCATAAATAAGCTAGTAAAGAAAACTTAAAGATTCTAAAGGAACACAATAGAAGACCTGAATGAATGAAAACACATATATGATCTTTGCTAGGAAGAGTCAATTTCACGAAGGTGCCAATTCTTCACAGTTTAATTTACAGGGTTGCCAAAATTCTGATAAAACCACATTAAGGATTTTTTAAAAAGAACAAGACAAGGCAATTCTTAAGTTCAAACAGAAACACAAACAAACAATAACCAGAACAATTCTAAAAAAAGAGAGAGGAAGCTAACTTTACCAAATAAAACATATTATAAGACACAGTAATTAAAGCTGTGGAGCAACGGTGCATGCACAGACGGCTCAACAGAATGGATTAGTAAGCCCAGAAAGAGACTCAGTTATACAGGAATTTAGTATATGATAAAGGTATTTCAAATTTGTGGGAAAATAGACAAATGACTTAGAAAAAAGGAAACAATTTAATTTGGATTGCTACCTCATACCTTATACCAGGATGTTACAGACTGAGCAATATTTAAATGTTAAAAAGTAAAATCATAATGTATTAGAACAAACCATGGAATATTATAAAAATACATTCTAAGAGTAGGGAAGCTATTAAGTTTGACACCATACCTAGAAGGATAAATTTTGGTTCCAAACCCCCACATTTGTACATGGTAAAAGCTGCTAAATCAAAGTGAAAAAAAAAATGACAAACTGGAAACATACTTGATACTATAATAATAAGCAAAACAAAATTGCTTTAATATATACAGTCTTATTTTTCTAGGCACTGAGTATCTAGCACTGAAGGACTGTTCTGTGGCACCAAGTTGATGGCTTAGAAGATGAAGAGAATTCTTCTATGTTGAAACAGTGGATCTGAAAATGAAGGTCCAGGGAGAAGAGCTAACAACAGAAGGAATGTCTCCTGGCAGCAGGGAGAAAAGAATGGGGTTTCTGCAGCACTGCTGACCCCACCCCTTCTGGCTAGCTTTGGTGGGAGGGTTCTACACTGAGGCAGAAGGGACAGGAAGGGGTAGGCAGAGAGGAAGACGGAAATGATTATTCACGGTGAAGGGATCTGGATGGGAAATAAATGTAAATCCCTTTCTTTCTTACACTTCTTAATTTTTCCCTTTTTACCTCTTCCCTGGGAACTGACATCTCTTTAATTTTTTCTTTTTATTGCCCAAATGCCATTCTCTTCCTTCCCTTTATCCTCTTACTTTTTCTTTCCATCTATGTTTACCTTCCTTCTCATTCTCCTTTCCATTCTTCTAAATAGACATAGAATCTACATACCTAAAAAGTCTTGTGCATATTAAATGAGATTTTATTTCTCTGGTTCCAATTTCAAAGAGATGTAAGTTGAATATTTATATGTCATTCTCTTGAAAAAAAATGTTTAAAAAAATATGGTCATTGATTATTTTTCTGCAGATGAATGAAATTCATTAATAAAAGGGTCCTCACTAATGTTGTAAAGGATTGTAAAAATGTTCAGAGCTAGGGAAATGATGCCAAAGGAGTATTTATTTAAGATCGTGATAAAGATTTATCTCTTAAAGGTCTACTTACTGAATTTGTGTTATCCAAGTAAACTTAAGAAGGGGGAAAAAAACTAATTGAATTAAGGGCCTATTTTTAAAAAGCCTACTTCAAGTGTGAGGCAACACAGTTGTACATTTGAACATTGTTTAGAAAGACTGAGTTTTCATTTTTTGTATAGAATGTCTTCCTATTAAATGTGCCAGTTAATATTCTTCCCAAAATAATTCGTATAAATAAATGGTATTTAATCATTGACCTCAAAGCTAATATGTAATTGCTACAATTTAACAGTCAAAGCAATCAGCAAGGAAGTATTCAGATCTATACCAAACATTGTATGTCAATCTTGTGAAAAACATGCTAAAATCTAAAGTTGCAAAGGGTACACCAACCAAATGTTACATAATTATCTATGATAGCCACACTTTGTTGAACTAAGGTACACAAACTGCCTAAGAGAGCACCTCTTTTGAAAATTACCATGGTTTTCTTTAAATGGCAGAATTTTATACATTCAGTCAGACTAGATATCAAAAGCAACACTTCTCTGGTCATTAGCTACACAGAAGAAAAATAAGCACAGATTCATGTGTTTGAATTCCTAGGGCCTTTCATAAATAAACACCTACACACATCTACTGAAATTAAAAGGTGCATTCTGAGGGAAGTCAAGCATTGAGACATGAGACCACAAAATGAAGCAAAGTGGCTCCACCCACAGAAACTTAACTGTGAATAAGGTACCCGTGATACCTGCAGGCAAAACGTAGAGCTGGTTACAAAATAATGAAATGCTGTCAAAATTGTTTTTAAGTTACTAAAGAAAGAATTTTCTTTCTTTACAGCAGATGCCCTTCATAATTATGCAAGATATCCTGTGCACCAAAATGCCAGGCAGAGAAACTTCAACTTACTAAATATCTAAACATTTAGAAGTGATTATTACATGACAAATCAGAGAAAAACTAAAAAGAAAACAAAAGGTAGCCAAATAAATGACTACAGACTTGAGAGGATACCAAGTTCTTTGATTGCCAAACTAAGGGCTAATTATATTCCATGATTTAGAGAAAAAAGTTCTTCATTATTACAGATTCCCCCACAAAGTATAATCTCATTCCTGGAGTACATATAATAAACTCCCAGAAAGCTCTATTGCAAAAACACTACTCATTCTCAAGGCACATGGGTATGTGAGGTATAGCCCAGGCTTGGGGAGATCCCTCAGCTTTATGCTTGGGTGAAATAAATAAATGTCCAGGTAAATAATTCTTATTGCACACATTAATTTCATTGCATGTATTTTTTCTTCAGAGTACAGTAAAATAAGAAACTAGGTACTTTCTTTTTAATTTAACCAAATATTTTTTTAAAAATCTCACCTCTAATTCCTCAGCCTGTTCTGGGTTATCGTCTTCTGAGCCATTGGTTTTAGGTAAATAAGTCATTTTTAATCTCAGATAACCTTTAACTCTTGATTTCTGACTGTAGGAAAGAAATTAATTATTCACACAACTTTAACACTAAGAAAAAAAGCACACATTTTAAAAAAAGCACACATTTAATTGAACACCTACTAGCTACCAGAGGAGACAAGTCCTAATGCAGGAGATAGCTAGGAAAAGGACGAGATGTGGAGAAAAAGGAACATACAGTAGTAAATAATTGTTATGCGATAAATAAAATACTGAAGAAGTTTAGGTGAAAAGTCAGAACTCGAAAGAGAAGTTGGCCTTCGAGTTGGGGATAGCAGCCTGTGGAGGATTTGATTGGTGGCAGTGAGGGAAAGGCATGTGAGTGGAGAAAAGAGCAAAAACAAGGAAATAGATGGGAAACCTGGGGTACAGTTAAGGAAATGGCAGTAGTTAAATTTGACTGGATTACAGGATCTGTAAGGGAGGTATAAATAGTTATGTTTTTCAATGATAAAGATACTAGAAGGCATTTGACACATGGAAAAGCAGGCTACTGGATGAAGTCCATGTGAAACAAGAGGACTTTAATTTTATTTTGCATACTCTACGAAGCCAGAGAATTTTGGGTATAGGGAAAGGCATCCTCAGGGATGTGCTTTAGGGATACTAATCCCTATCATATACGTATAGGATGACAGAAAAGTGGAGAGCAAAGCCTGATACTGTCTGAACCTATGTTTCTTTGACAGCTGTTTGAATCTATCAAACATTAATTTACCTTATTTATTTGCACAGCATATATTGTATCACCTTCTTGACTAATGAGCTAAGCTAAAGGTTGCTGCTGCTCACTGTATTAATATTTAATTTTTGTTAAACCTGTCTTCTGTAAGCTTCTAATTTAAGACGTAATTCTTAATTCTGTCTACTGCCCCCACCAATTCTAGCAGCCTATTAAGAAACCTTCCTTGTCCTAGCTTTTTGTATGGATTTTTCTTTGGTGGTTTTTATAGGTATCAGTTATGTAACCAACTGCCTTTTGTCTTCCTAGACAAAAGAATCCTAGTCTTTTATTCACTCATCCAATGCCTCCCTTAATTTTTTTAGTTGTTCTTCTCTGTACTGTACTCGTTTGGAAAGTGTGCCTTTTGTGAGTGGTCAATAAAACCCCTGATGCTTATTTCCAAGGTCACTAATGTGGCTTGTGTCTCCATATTTAAGAGGGTATGAACCCTCTGACTTGTTGCTATAAAAAGGTGGATTTGGAAAAAACTTACTCAGATAATGTTTTATAGAAGAATTTCTCTACAATGATATGCTTCATGCCCTTCCAACTAGACAGTAAGCCTGTGGGTTTGGACTTACTGGGGATCAAAAAAAAATCTAAAAATGTAGTACATTTTTCTATTTGAATAATTCTTTCTGCACTTATGGTCATATCCAGTATAGATAAAAGATATAAATTGTTATATTTTTTAATGATAAAGATACTAGATGGACATTTGACAAAAGGAAAAACAGGCTACTAGGGCAATTAAATAAAAGAAGAAATATTTAGTTATTTTTGGTATGCAGATGTCACAATCAAGTCTAAAATTAAAGAAAATATATTTATATTCTAAGACTTCTATAGAAATTAAATATATTAATTCTCTTAGAAAGTAAATATTGACATAGAGGACTGTCCCTTTTATTTTAATAATGTACATCATACATCACCAAGAGTAATTTAAAAAATTTTTAGTGAGAAATTTTACTAAAGTTCCCATAGTATATTTTTCAAATGCATGTCCTAGTTTTAAAAATAAGACAAATACTCTTGTTTACACAGATGTCCTTCCTCTGCTCTATACTGACCTTTATGACAGTAAAGTCACACACATCTTAACTAGATTTTACTTGAGTATGTGGTACAGGAGATCAAAAGTAATTTTATTTACAGCTAAACTGAAAATTCTTGACAAAATCAAGTAATTCACTTTAGGAAAATGGGATTATTAACATGCTATTGGGTTTTAAATTCTAGTCTTTGCTTATGTTATTTTCTCTAAATATTTGAGCTTTCTTTAATACCTTTTTTAAATTAAAGTATGCAAAATGTCGTTAGGTTTTTCTGAAATTAGTTTTGTCCATGTCAAGTTGGATATGGGTTATAGACGAATTGATGTTTGAGATTTCTAAAAGTACAGTGTGACAAAATTGATATACTTTAAGATATAAAATAAATACAAATAATGACAAATTTCAGCCTCTAGTCTGATAAATATTAGAGGGACAAATCTTTCCCAAAGGGGTATTATCACTTTCCATATTTTCAGAATATTTTGTACTGTGCATGTATTAATTTTTAATCAGAAATAACAATAAGGCTTCTAAAAATATTTAGAAGTAGCTTACTTACAAAAGTTTAAACTTTGAATTTCCAAAGTGGTGACTGTAAAGTATAATGAAAATTTTTAAAAAACTTAATATGGTATTACTTTATATTTACTGACCTTCTTGGATGAAGAACAAAATCCTTAAATGTATATGGTCTCTCCATTCTTGGATTTTCTGTCTAAAATAAAACAGTGGATTTTCAAGATATAACACTGAAAATATGTACTTTTCAAGAATATTCATGAATGATGACCTAAGGCATAATTGAAGTTAGAATAAGAAAATAATAGCTTTAGCTTATACACTTGGTAACTCAATGGTACTTTCCTTTCCTGCTTCATAGGAATTGCAGCCTGCATCAAAACTCAGAATAAAACTAGCTGAGCAGGTACACTGTGGGGCCAATAGGAGAGTACGAGTGGGAAGAGGGAGAGAGAGAGAGAGAGTGGTGTGTCTGTTGGAACCCCCAAGGAATATGGAAATGTACAATGTCAGCAGGCTGTAGAGGTCAGAACATAGACAATTCTAGGAGAACAAAAAAGTAAACTGCCTGGAAGGTAAGACTGGATTAAATATATTATTAAAGCGTCTGGTCTCTAAAGACCGTAGAGAGTCAATAAATATCCCAAAAGACTGATGTAATAAGAAATATTACTTCTCTTTCTTATTAAATTCAGCAGCCCTTTGTTTTTATTACCCTTTACTTCACTGTTGCATTTTGCATTAACTAGTCATTCAGTCTTATAAATTCTCATGACTGTACTTTACTTGTTTTTTTCCCCTTTCTCCTTGACTGTCTTTTTCTCCTCTGGCAGACTCACACTGCCTAAGGTTCAGTGCTTGGCCTTCAGTGCTCCCGCCTCCCTCACAGACAGCCCATCATTCTCAGAGAGCCTGCTGTTACCTCAGTGATAACAATTCCTCCAGCTCCTTTCCCCTACATGATTTATTTTTATATCTCTGTCGGCTGACCACTTCATAATCTGGCTATTCCCTTTCCTATTGAAATTCAATACAGCCAAAAATAAAGTTATGATTTTTCAAAGCCAAATGGCTTTTCCTTCTACTTTTTCTACTTAAGACACCACTCCTATCTCCCAAGTTCAACATGTATTATCTTTAGTTTTTGCTCATTGTTTTTTTCAACCTGCATATCAGAAACCTGGTCCAATAATGTTTTATTGTGCAATGTTTCCTGAATCTGTCTGTTTTCTGCCATTGCTATATGCTTGGTCCAGATTCAGTTTCATTCCTATACTGTTGTAACCAATCTTAGTTTCCTTCTGTGAGACTAAGCTCTCCCCACTACAGTTATTCAGTACAATATTTCCAAATGGATCTTCCTCAAACTATGCTTTCATGATGTCAACCAACTTCAGGGACTCTCTATTTCTTCCTGGGGTTCATATAAGGGAATCTTGAAAATTTTAAATGAAAAATTGAGATGAATTTTCAGAAAATAATATGTTCAAGAAATAACAACCATGCACATTTAACAAATCAAATATTTATAATCACTATATTGGAAATCTGTAAGTATTTATTAAAATAAAATCATGAACACCTATACCAACCGGTAATGGATAAAGAGGAACATCCACTTGACCTAGGAAATCATCTCTTGTCTATAAAAGAAAGAAGAAAAATGAGATTAGTAAAATATGCTCCATCCTTTTAGAAGATTTTGATGAATTGCTGCCAACATTCACAAAAGAAAATAGAGGTTTTTGTTTATTTAGTCCAGTGCAATATGAAAGGAAAATAAAAGGTAATATGGTACAACTTCTAGTAATGACAGAAAACAGTATATTAGACTGATCCTTTTGCAGACAATAATTATATTCCGAAAAGAACATAAAAACAACTCTTTGAAGGGACCATAGAGTGACCAATGCCAGCAGAAATGGGAGGGGCGTCAATCCTTGAAAGAGCTTTTTAGGAAAATTTCCTTGAACTCACAGAAATGAATTTTGAGTGAAAAGCCCCACTGAATATTAGGCAAAATGCATGAAGAAAAGACTCACAGCAAAGCACATCATTATTGACACTCCAAAGCACCAGGGATGAAGAGATTCTAAAAGCTTTGAGGGATACAAAACAGACCCTACACAAAACTGAGAGACAAGAGAATGATGCCTTCAAAACTGTGAGAAAAAAATATTTCCTACATAAAATTCTATATCCAGACAAAATATATTTTTCAAAAGTGAAAGGAGAACAAAGACATTTTCAGACATTGGTGTTTTTAGCAAGGTAACGGAGGATATACTTCATGGTAAGGGAAGATGCAGGGGATTCAACACAAGAAAAGGAAAGAGGAGCCTCAGAATGATAGGGAAGAGAACTTTCAGGATAACAATAGTGTAAGAACTACAGAACAACCAGTGCTTATGGGAGCAGGAAGATGGATAGCTGTAAAAGGGATGCTTCCAGAAAAAGAGGAGTAACCATGTCTACCTAATAGTGTTTTGTGAGAATTAAATAATGTACATAAAGTGCTTTGCATAATACCCAGCATGCAGTAAGCATTCAATAAAAGCTAGCTGTTATATTTGAAATGCTGGACTCTATAATGAAACCCCTGATCCCTTTCCCATGGACCAGATGGTGGGCATTTCAAATAGGTACAGACAATAAAAGGAGCATGGCTGGAGCCTGAAGTCTAGCAAATTAGCTTAGTTTAGGACCAAATCCCTATTCCAGACCAAAATTTTGAATTGAGTTGATAATTTTTGAAATGGACAAGCTAGCTTTTAATTATATCCAGAGGCTGTTCTATGGTATGTTTTTCCCTGTTTTTATTGCAAATAGATGTTCTACCTCATAAATATGATCTTCAAAAAGCTATAAATAAGTAAAGAAGTAAATACAACAGAATATAACAAAATTTCAACCAAGATGATTGAGAAATCAAGTATTTTCATTAGTTGAATTAAGTAGGCTTAACCAGACCAAGAAATAAAATACTTTTTTTTAGTTCAAGCTTATTGAATAGCCTCACCCCAGTATACATCTATATGATCATTCATGACCTTGCAGTGTTCAAAAACATGGCTGTGGTCAATTATCACTGGAGTAACATAGGTAGAGAACAGGGTTTCTCACCTTGGGCACTACTGAGAATAAGAGTCAGTTAATTTGTTGTTGTTGCCGGGGCTGTCCCATACATTGAAGGATGTTTAGCAACATTCCTGGCCTCTACCCATTAGATGCCAGTAGCCTCCTTCTACCAGTTATGACAACTAAAAATGCCCCCTGGGTGGCAAAACTGTCACTGGTTGAGAACCACTATTAAAGAAGGTATAAAACAGAATGTCTCAGTGAGTGAGTAAAAGACTCCCCCTACTTTTTCAATAACAGCTTTATTGATATATAATAAACATATTATATAATTCACTCACTTAGGTTGTACAATCAATTTTAGAACATTTTCATCACCCCAAAAAGAAAACCCTTTCCTATTAGCAGTCACATCCATTTCCCTGCTCTTTCCTCAGCCCCAGGTAACTACCAATCTACTTTCTGTCTCTGTGGATTTTCCTGTTCTGAACATTTCATATTAATGGAGTCATATATTATGTGGTCCTTTATGACTGGGTTCCTTCACATACAATAATGTTTTCAAGGCTCATTCACTTTGCAGCAATATCAGTACTTTACTCCTTTTTAATTGCTGAATAGTATATTGTATTTATACATAATATTGTTTATCCACTATCAGTTGATGAACATTTGGCCATGTTCCCACTTTTTTGGCTACTATTAATAATGCTGGTATGAACATTCAAGTACAAGTTTTGTACAACATATGTTTTCATTTCTTTTGGGTATGCACTTAGGAGTAGAATTCCTGGTCCTATGGTAACACTGTTTAACCTTTTGAGGAACTGTCAGACTTTCCAAATGGCAGCACCATTTCTCATTCTCAAGAGCACGATATGAGGGCTTCAGTTTCTCCAGATCCTTGGTAACACTTATTATTACCTTCCTGATGTAGCCTTCCTAGCGGGTGTGAAATGGTACCTCACTGTGGTTGTTTGCATTTCCCTGATGGCCAATGATTTTGATCATCATTTTATGTGCCTTTGTGCCCTCTATTTCTTGAAACCTCTTAACTTCTAAATCTTCCCCAGAAATTCAGTCTTGGTTGCAGAGTGCCTGGTCACTGTGAGACAGAAAAAAAATCTTATCTCATACATTGTTCCATAGTCCTTGTTCATTGATTGCATTTTGTAAACAAAAACATAGAACAAAAAATCCTACATGATGCAAATTTCCTTGTCTCAAGTACTTCCGGTACATAAAATAACATAAAAAATTTTTTTTGCAACATGTCTTCCTTATGTTTTCCTTTATCTGAAATATAACTTCTACTTAAAATGAAATGATCCCAAAGAACTACATTTCCAGTATTAGAGGAATGAACAAATTTTTCTGAACTAAAATTTTGATTGTATTTGAATCAATATGCGTGGTCTGAGGAGATGGAGAATAAGAAACTGGGAACAAATCTGGAAAGTCTGGGACATATGGTTGCTATAAATATAGGACAATTAGAGGCTCATTTTCCATTTACAAAGAAAAAGTACATTTTAAATTCATTCCTATGAAGGTAAGTCAGTCTGTGATGTTCATTAATGTTTCCCTAGCCAACCAACAGTTCCAAATTCTGAGTATCAAGCATTTCCTTGCAAGATTTACTTCCTATATATGAGCTGCATGCACTTCATAAAGCAAATTTGCATTTGGTAGAATATAAGTTAAGAATGCCTGAAAATCTGAATAAGAATTTTAAAGTAAGGTGATTTTTAAACAGAACAATCTGTAGTGTGCACAGTTTGGTCAGTAAATAATACTTCCTCTAATATTTTAAAGGGATGAATTTCAGTTTCTTAAAACAATTTTTAGGACATGAAAAGAGAAAAATACAGATTGTTGCTTGTATAAAACTTCAATTAGAACTACAGATGTTCTAAGTTTAGGAGGACACACCATTATTAACTTTGATAAGGTGACATAGTGGCTAAATGTTCTCTTTAACAGAACCCAATGTTACAAAAAGTCAGAATTTTAAAAACAGGGAAGTTAAAGTGTCATTGAAGAACACTTGGCTTTAAAAAGAGTTCCCATGGAATCTGAGTCATTCCAAGGTATATCCACTGTAAAAAGAAAAATATCTCTAGGGCCTTGTTCAGTATCAGTCCTATCAACAATGTTGTTCCTCTTAAAGGGTTGTGTACTTACGCCATTGTATGGAAAACCAAAATTTAGTTGGCTCCTTATTGACAGACATTTGCCCATGATAAGCAATCCCTCAATGATTAAACTTGTATTTATCATTTTACATATATACCTGAGATAATTTTTATTTTGTGTAATAATAACAACTACAGTAATCTGAACTAATATGAAATGGAAACAGATCTTAGTGACCGAGTGACTGACTGGCTTTTACAGAAAGAAATAGTATCCTGAGTAAGCTACAAAGCACATACACGTTTTCAAAGATACAATCAAGATCAAGACCAAGAGTTTGCATTTGAATTCATTTTTTACTCAGTGCCAATGACTACAGTCTTCACACAACTGCATTTAAATTCTTTATGTGCCATGTCATTATTCTTCTTATATATCACTAAAATTCTAAAAAAAAAAAAAAAATTGGGTAGGCAGTAAAAAAGAAATAATAAATTCATAGCTATAAAAATGCCCAAAGCACTGTTAATGATATTTAAATTAAGGCAAGAGATCAAGAGATATTTCAGAGATCATAAAAACTGAGAGTGGAGTTAAAAGCTCTGAACCTGATCAAAGTAAAATTATTTAAGAATTTTAGAATTTAAGGTAAAATTTAAACTCTCATAAACACTGTCTTGATTTTTTGAAAAGTTGATTATTTTGACATAGAGGCTATTAGCACATGTGAATCCCTGAGAAAAATAAGCACAACTTTTATGAATGGACCTATTTATAGTTTTTTTTAAATAAGAATTTTCTGCTTCCAAAACTTTATGAAAACTATTATTTTTAATGCGCATCCTTCCTTTCAAAATCCGTACTACATGGATTCATACTACATTCTAGATATTAAAAAGGATTATGAAAACTGCACTAAAGTCAGCTTAACTATTTTCTAATGTATGCAAATCTTAAGTAAAATTGCATTTGCATAACTTCTACCTTCCTATGATGCACTGACTCACTCTATACTAGGACCTGCTTATTTTAAACATTTTTCTAGAAGTTCAAGATTTATTGATTCAATCTTTTTAGTATGTTGAGGGGGAAATGGTGTTAGCTAAACAAACAGTATAATCTGATCTAGGCTACAAAATCATAGTGCTATGGAAACTGGATGTCTTTGCTTAAAGTAAACATTCAATGTCCCAAGCCTGTGACCGTGCAGCCAGCCAGCCTGTCTGGTAGATTGAACTGTAAAACACAACTGTACTTGTTTTTTGACAACAGCTTCACACTGGTTGAAATTTTGGGGACATTTTACACCCTTAGCGGCTCTCACACTTTTAAAGGGATTTTTACCTAAGAGATGTGGGTAGGGAGCAAGTCAGGAGAAGCCACTGTCTAAACTAGTTTCAGTTTGAATTATCCTCTGAATTTCAGTTTC